ATGATTAATAGTCGGAATATACAGTCAATCAACCCAAAATATTATGAAATTGATAGTCGATAGAATTCATAATGTTGTGCTGATTTTATGTAGGAACTTTGTCCATACAAATGTAGTCGCCTTTTTGAACCTGATCAGGATTATTTATTTCAAGACATAGTACACACATTTTTATCTTAAATTTTGATTAAAATATAATTAACAACAGTTTTATTTGAAATTCAGCATCATAGAATACGTGCATAAAATGTAAAAATTCCGTTATTATCTAAGGTTGCTATAAATTTGGTTTCAAAAGAAAGTGTGCATGAATCGTCGACCACATCGTCGCTTTCCATTATGTGAGATAGAGTCAATGCGCACTTATTTGTAACTGACTTCGAAAAAAAGAAATATCTAAATTTGACCGTTTTTTGTATGTAAGTTACGCGGTTACTCCGATATTTGTGAACCGATTTCGATGATTCTTTTTTTTGTAAGAATGAGGATACCTCAGCATTGATCCCATTTGAATTTGAAGAAAATATTCCACCTCTAAGGGTGGCAAACTAGGGGATGAATCCGGGTTTCTCGTGCTTTCCGGTAACCGGTAAGAATAAAACTTGGCAAATAGATGTAATTCCACTTTTGAGCTCTTTTTTGTTATAAAAAAGTTACAATTACATATCTTATAAAAAATTTAAAGTACAATCATAAGAAATAAAGGAATGTACAATACCATTATTGTACATTCCTTTGTTTCTTATGATTGTACTTTTAATTTTTTTTAAGTCGAACAAGATGTCTTCTGTACGAGTAGAAAAGGATTTTTAAGAAACAGCTGAAATAATTTTCCTTTTCAATATCAGAGGAGTATTGTTAAGGCTAATGGGCGGGATATGCAGTACAGGAACTGCATCCGGAAGTGTTGTGTTACGGTGATACCTATAGTATAACGAAAATACAGACAACTAACTCTCGGCAGGTTATACGTTTAAAAACAAATTATGTAACAATCGCGAAAACATAAAAACTGGAGACATGAAAATATTTAAACAATTTTTTTTTGCATACAGTCAAGTAAGTATTACTTTTTAACCCATACAGCCTATTCATAAATTTAGACGAAAGCCGAACAAACGCTACAAAACAAAAAACCAAAGAGACAGAATAGAAGCCGTCAAGTACCGCACATATTTTAACCATAAAGGATGGGAAAAAATATAATATATGTAAAATACACAACCTATCATTTTATCTATAAAAGATTTATGGCCCATTTGCAAGCCTTGCTAGACTTTTAAGCCAATTTAACAGAATTTAACCAATCAAGAGACAGTAGTGTAGCGTTTGAGTAACGTCATAATTGATATTTTAATCAGCAAAAATACGACTTTTTTTAAAAACTCATTACAGTGCCTCACAGTTCTGTGTACAGAGTTTCTCGTTCCTCCAACTTCCAAATCCCGTTTCCAAATTTCGTTCTTCAATAAGTTTCCCCGTTTTAAAAGCAAGTATTAGTCAAAACACTTTGTTGGTAAGTGGCCGAAACTCTCACCGCGAAAAGCCAAGAGAAATAACAAAAAAAAACTTTATTGAAGTTTTTTAGCTAGGTGGCGAGTACCACATTCAATAAAATTTTTGATTCAGAACTAAAAAGAGCATTTTTTCCATTATATAGGATAATTGTGTATAAGAAAAGAGCACATCTATTATGATGAATGGTCCAAGAAATTATATATTATATGCACAGACCACATAAATACTAAAATTATCATTGACAGATTAAAGTAGAGTAGAAAAATATACCTTAGAATAATAACGCATAGAATATAATTATAAGTCAATGCATAGAATGATAGTTTCATATCAAACGAACTGTCATAGGTGAGGCAAAAATCAAATTCATGTAGGCTAGTTTTAGTAAATATTTAATTAATTTTCGGTTTTAGTGAATATTTATATAAAAATGCAAGTTGAAACGCGTTACTTGCTTGTGGAATGTGATGTTAGTATCTATTTTATGTTTGTCTGCGGTATTTTTACACTCATTTACCGCACATTTCGTCATTTTTAGCTAAAATTCTTGAGCTGTTCGCGGTGCAAGTTGACCTTGAGCACTGAAGGCCCGCCCGCTCGTGTAGGCCCATTGAGAGCGCTTCAATTTGCCTCACTTAGCGTGTACGGGCTAGGTTTCTATGCGTTATTATTCTAAGCCTAGATACGTTTATAAATTAAACTCATAGAACATGCCGCCGTTGGCAATTGAACCGTCGACGTCTCAATTGAGACGGAACTGTTCTACCACAGCTCTGTTCTTTTCCAAAAGAATTAAATTACTTTTGGTCTTACTGCACAAGAGAGATTCTATAAAATATAATGTTCACCGAAACGAACAAAGCATAGCGAAGCTCATTTTGATTTTCATGAATATTCTCCGTTTATTCTCCGAGATAAACGTTTAACGAATCGTTTGTTATTCACAAGACTCCCGGGAGTATCGTCGGTTTAAATTTAAGTACAGGTATTACTGTAAAAATTCGACATAATTGGAGAAAGCAATTTGGGTTTTACTGTCGATGTTGTATTTAAGATATTGTTAAAAAATAATAATAGCCTAGTTAGTTTAGTAGTAGTAGCTCCTTGTAAAAGAGTTCGTTCAGGGAAGCACGGGCAGTGTAAGGGACCATTACTGCGTTCCGGTTTTGAAGGGTAAGGGTGCTGGTGAAATTACAGGCACATGGGTCTTGTCAACTTATGTCTCAGGGTCACACGCGCAATGGCAATGCCCATCAGATCTTTCCGATTTAAAACTCTGAATGGTACTGCAACTTTTTTTATATACTGTATCAAGTGACGGGACGAGGAAGTCGTGCGCCTGCTAGTAAGCTACGCGCCTATCGATAACAGTTGCAGTTTACAGTAGTAGCTGCTTGTGAAAGAGTTCGTCCAGGGAAGTACTTGCTACCTTACCTATTTCTATTTTGGAATTTTGCATGCCAGTGCACGTAATTACCTATACATATGATTGGGACGCGCCTTCTTAAGGCCAGTTGCGATTAACTAACAGAGAACTACGTGGATAACAATTCCGCGTATCTGTCGTCAGGCGCAGAGATGGGCAGTGGATTAAAACCCAATCTACTCGCCTAGGCTTGTTTTTAACCAAAGGGCCGGTTTTAATCCATTTCTGCCCAAAATCGTGCAAGGAAACCATTAAACGCTGTAAATAATAATTAATTTCTGTGTTTCTTATTAACACAATGTATAGTAGTTTCTATGTAACTTTCGAGTTATGGTAATTATACTGTCTAAATTACGCTGCAACTAATAGTTGTTTTATTGGAATTTAATTTACCCATTCAAAATAAAACTTTAAATTTAAATTTTAAAAATCATGATATCAAACACTGTAGATACTCCAAAAATTCTATAAGCCCAAACACAATAGTTCTGGTGTAGGTAAGAACTTAGTTGAGAAGTTGAGTAGTCTGAAAACAGATAATGTACCTAGGTAGAATATAAACGATTTTACATGAAAGTCTTCCCGTTATAACCTTTGATAATTGAGTAGTCGACTAGCAAACTGCGTTATGTGCGCGGGTAATAAAAAGGTTCAAGCTAAAAAAAACATTTATTGTTCCAAAAATGGATTTTTAAATCGAACTTTTTTGATTATCTGAAAATTGTGATAAAAAAGAGATAAACAATAAGAACAAACAAAATCACAGTATTAAACTTTTTATTTTATTTCCATCTACAAATTGAACATAAAGTTTTGCAACAGTAATATTAAAATAACTAGTTTTGTAATTGTTCAGAATTAACGTAGCTAGTTTTGCAACAACACTATGATGACATTGCTAGTTTTGTTATAATATTAGTAAAAAATACAACAACTTTAATTTTCCTTTCGTCTCTCTTCTTCCTTCTTCCTACTCTTGGACGATAAAATAATAAATACCAAACAAAATAACGGATTTTGCACGAGTTTATACTTAATAGAGCAGCGTTTGCAGGTTGAGACAAAGTGGTAACTTTTAAAAGTGTAAAGAAAGATAGCGACTTTTGCAAAAGTAGTCAACATTTGACACTGATTTGTTCAGAATATACCAAGTTTTGGCACTGTATTGTTGAAGTATTTGAAATTATTTAAAATTCTGATCCATTTCACGCCATTAACTAGAAATCATTATAAATGTCACATAAGCGCTTAAATTCTTAAGTAATTAAGTACTCAATTAATTAATTTGAAATTAAAAGTAACCCCTACCTATATAAAAGGTACCTATACCAAGAGTCTCCATCTGTAGCACAGACTATTAGATGCTAATCTGTAGAACTTACCTGAGATAACTACTCGTCGAGACTAGTAGAAAATGTTTATAAACTTAATTACAGAAATTACAGTAAAAATTTAAATTATGCGTTGTGTTAAGTATTTGTTATTATATTGTTGTCTATTTTTAATATGCAGCTTTCTTCAAAAATATGTTGTATTTGTTTATTTGTATGGAGTTTAATTTCAAAGTATTGCTATATCATTTTGACGCAAAACGAAACAGGATTCGCTCTGGACCTTTTGGAGGGAAAAGTGTCGTTTTTATTTTGACTTTCAATTATTTTGTGAAATCCAGTTTAAAGTGGAGTAGGATAGTGCTACTATGCCTTAATCGAAGATTAAAACGCGAAATTATACGAATCTCGAACTAAAATACACGTATCGGCCCGTTCTAAGGAATCCCGAGGCAATCCAAGCACGCCGCCTCAAATTGCCTATCCTCTTTGTGGTTGCCATATTTACAGAAATATAATTAAACGTTTATGTTTTCGGCTGAAGTACTTTGTTTTCATGGCCAGCAATAAATAAAAAAAAAAAGCAAAACGAAACGCTGCTGTCACTATCAAAAATCATTGTCAATGTCAATGTCATGAATTTTGTGTACAAAAATTACGAAATACGAACAATTCAATTGAATTGTTTTTCCTTTAATTAATTAAATGAGCACGACTGTTTTCCTATTGTGCTGTTGTTAATAAGAAATTGATTGCAAATACTGCTACTATGTCTTTCGCCCTAAAGCAGATCGCTCGCAGCGTAAGTTCTTGTGCAAGTTCGCGAAAATTATTCGGAATTGTAATAATAACTAGGGTAGTTTACCATTTAATTCGTGTGTTTTCTGTTCATACAGGTTTTGAGACCCGCTTTAGTACTGCCTAAGAAGTTCAACTTCTCTTCGAGTAAGCATTGTTTATTACATAACCTTAAAGTGTCTAGAAAATGCCGGAAGATTCGGTTCCGCGCAAAGGCTATCAACAAAACGCATACATTTCACGTAATACATTTCACTGCGCTTTAATATCATTTCGTACAATCACATTACGCGATTTAAAAATAAACAATGGAGGATTTATGAGTTAACAGGCCTCAAGGATAAAATGAGGCCACTTTTATCATGCGACTGTACTTACCCATGCAACATTACGTTGCGCTGATATTGTAAGAAACCTATTCCTACATGCACTGGTTCTGGTTTAAATTAAAATTTTATTATATTATCTTAGGGGAGCTACTTTTACAATATGGATTTAAATGTAAATAATCAGATGCCAATTAACAGCTTCCACATGAAAATTAGAAAATAATCCTACCATAAATAACTAAATAACACTTCTATGAGAACACAACAATTTTTATCAGGCACTTGAAAATAAGTTATTAGTTGTAAAAGTTTTTATATTCATAGCTCTATTACAGAAAAGATCTGTGCAACAGTCATCATTGATTTGGTTAAATGTCTAATGTAATATAGCTGTGTAAATCTGTACATACCTTGATTTTTTTTCTAACATACCATGTAGGTATGTAAAAATAATTTAATGTATGTTTCTCATACTAATTCTCATATTCTTCATACTAAAATTTGTTTGAATTTACTGTAAGTAACTATAAAGTATAAGTTTAATAAACTGTAAAAAAAGATGACATTGTTTAATTGTGGAACAGGGTGTAGGGAAAGAATAATTTGAAAATTTATCGTACTTTTAATTTTTAAACTTATAAACCTCTTGTTTAAATTATTTTTAAAGTAATATTATTAAAGTATATAGCATCTGAAAAAGGTATAATTTAACTAATTAAAATGCTAACTACAAGCGTTATTGTTTTTACTATGTTTTACGCCACATTTTTAGTTTTGTCCTTTAATCACATACAAGGTATTCACTCTTAGACAACGTTATGTTATAACCTAAATGTGAGTGTTTGTGTGTGATCAATAATAGTATCTTGATGAAAGAACTAAGGAAAAGAATAAAATATCTAACTTTACACATATTTTTCATATGGACATAGTTCTCTCATAACACGGAACCTTCTAAATTTGGTTTTCAACAGAATCACTGTAGTTATTAAATTCACATTTATCCTAAAATTTGAAAATTGTACAGCGGTTTAACTACGCGGAGCGCCACCCGCTGTCCCATCAGTCGCCATCGGATGCTTGTCAATGTCAGATCTGTGTAAATTTTTCTTTGCCTGTTCTTATTTTATTCATAACAATATTAAGCCTCCTAAGTCTAGACTCACGTTTAAATACAACTGGCCTTAAGCTGTCAGTTGAATTTTGTTAAAACTAGGGGTATAATGTACACTTGTATTGAATACACTTTGTAAAAAGAAATTATCTTTAATTGCTTACAATTAATTTCAGGTGCAGCATGTTTTGCCCCTCGAATCCAGAAGCCTGCTCCAGACTTTAGCGCCACTGCAGTTGTGAACGGAGAGTTCAACCAGCTAAAGTTATCAGATTTTAACGGAAAATATGTAGTTCTACTCTTCTATCCTTTAGATTTGTAAGTAGTTACATAATTATAATAAATATTGTACAGTCAACAGCACATGAAGCTATACACTTTTGTTTGGATGTCGCCTCCTGCTGTGCCTATGTAAGCCTGCCTAATCTATACATCTGCCTGAGCCATTTTTTATTTCTTACTAACACAATATTAAACATTAATTCAATGTATGTACAAAGTTGAAAGTCGAAAGTATGTCAAGTTTGAGACTTAACATTTGATTGTTGTATTGTTGACAAATCAACTACAACAATCCAATTTATTGTTTGGAATCATCTAGAAAAATACAGTTTTGTCCAGTGAATTCCGATTCAGATAATATGCCAAAAAAGTATGTTTTAATGATTTTTTCATAAAATGAGTTATAAACCATTTTTTTACTAGGTCATCCATGTTTTCAGCACATTTGTATGTCCAACGGAGCTGATAGCGTTCAGTGAGAGAGCATCAGACTTTGCTAACATTGGCTGCCAAGTTATCGGAGTCTCTACTGACTCAGAGTTCAGTCATCTCGCTTGGGTCAACACTCCAAGAAAGGTAAGCTTTGTGTTACTACTTACGTACATATTTCATTACTAGCATTCACACGAGTTTCGTGTTTACAGTATCCTTCTGTTATTCGTGTAACACACAAACTCATAGCCCCGCACTAGGGAAACCCTGTATTGGAGGTAGTGTTTAAAATTTCCATTTGATAAAATCATATTTTTCAGGAAAATATGTATTTTTCTGGATATCTTTCCTTTATTATTCCACATTCGACGTTGACTCCTGTCAAAAGTTCAGGTTACGAAAACGATGGAGCTTTTTTTTTAGAGGTTTTTTCATTGTTGTGAAATGATTTTAAATCTCGTTTTTCTTTATGTAACTTTTAGCTATATAAGTTTATTTTATAATTCACACTAAATAAAACTTCAAGTGATATATCTAAACATGGAACATATATGAGACTTCGTATAATTTATATTTTTTCCAATTTTTCGGGAATTTTTCCGGAAAAATTTCAACTATTTTCATGTTTTCGTAAAAATTACCCATCAGTAGTTGCGAGTGCCATGGACAGCATGAACGGTTACCATGCTGGACTGCCACACAGAGGTCCTGAGTTCGATTCTCATGCCGGGAGAAGTATATGTATGGCCTACATTTATTTCTCTAGTGACTTTGGGTGTAATTTGTGGTTGTCTATGTATGTGTCCATAGCACCCGCGACACAGGTTTTCCCTAGTGCGAGGCTATAAGTGTGTTGCGTTATTATTGTTATTATAACATTTTATTTTCATTTTAATTACATGTATTTGCCAAGTTCTTGGAATTGGTTAACGGAAAGTGGATGAAATCCAATAAATGGGATTCATCCCCTAATTTGCCACCATTAGAAGTAGAATATTTTCTTTAAATTTAAATGGGCCACAACTGAGGTACTCCCTTACCAGCGAAAGTGAATTATCGAAATGAAGTTCACTTTGTGTCGGAGTAAACGCGTAACATGCACAAAAAAATACAGTCTAACTGAAACCTCCTCCTGAACCTCGTCCTTTTTTGAAGACGGTTATAAAAAAATCTTTAATCACGAAGTTTCCCTTCATCATTAGCGAGACATTCAATATAATTCAGTTCAAGGGAACTGTATTTAAGGAGATTTCGGAATAATATAAAAAAAACCAGTATCAGACACAAATCATTGACATTTTCATTTCATTAACATCCTGACATTCAATAAAAATTTAATTAGAAGTTAGTAGCGACATCTTTAGCAAGGGCTGGTAGCTGTAAAGGTTCTCTCTAATCTCTCTATCTAAGTGGGTGACGAAATACTTTAATAGATTTCTCATAGATGGCGCTACGGCTAAAAAGTCGTTGAAAACCAAATACAAATCCGACAACAAGCACATAGAAAAATTCGTGAGGTCCGCTGGTTCGTTCCGTGGCTTAGTTGGCATAGCGTCTGGCACGATTTGTTAGGAGACGCCCCGGTTCGAATCCGGCCGGATCGAAGGAGTTTTTGTAGGTGTTCGATCTTTGTATTAATAATTATAACACACTACTGGAGTAATTTCACAAAAAATAATTGAATGTCATGGTGGTGGAACATCCTGACATTCAATAAAAATTTATTCATTGACTTTTTTATTAATAAGATGTTGTTTAATTCAGGATGGCGGCCTTGGCAAAATTGAAATTCCCCTGTTGGCTGATTATAAGAAAAAGATCTCTCAAGATTACGATGTTCTTTTAGATGAAGGGTTCGCACTTCGAGGTAATTATGTCTATGTTGACTTTGATTTTTGCGTTTGAGGACAATGATATTAAGATCATACAGCCCACCCAGTTCTATGTTATTAAATTATATTCGCATACTGTTTTCTCTTATTATTTTCACATCTGTGATTTAATTATTTTTTATTCAACTCTATGTCGCTTGCGATAAGAATGGCTTTTAGTGTCAAATTTGATGCGATCTTGACATGTTACAATAATTACTGTTAACAATTTAGTAACCTGTTATGTAGTTCCATCTTTGCTAGCCCTTATGATATTTACAGTATTGTTAGAAAAATGCTCGCACACGTGTTCGTGTCGTTACGTCAATGGGACCTACTTACTAATTTTTTTAAATTTACTCATTGAGCATTGAATATAGAGTCATCAGCTTAAGAAGATAACAAATAATCAAGACACTCAAAACGTAATATACTTAAATAAAAAATTAATTCGTGTAAAAACCGTAACTTGTAAAAACCCGCCATTTTGTTTTTCATATTCACTCACATTGCGTGCGTTTTAGAAGTAAAGATTGATGTCGAGCATGCACTGTTTTTGTGCTTCTGTACAACTACGCTAAAACATGGACGAGCTTGGGGTCTATTGGGTACATCAGAGTATGTATGTAATACTCCACACCCACGCGCAAGACTTCGACTACAGCATCAGCATAACTCGACGAGTTCCCTGAAGTAAAGCAAGCCTGCCAAGGATATGAAGCAATGAAATGTCGCATTTCGTCCCAACTTGTTTCGCCACACCCGTCTCATATCATCATCTGATCGGGTGAGGAGTATACGGATACAGCTTACCAAAGACAGTAGACAGAGCAATTAGTCGTATGAGATTTAACATCTGGGATCCTAGTGGCGCAACTCACAAGCTGGAAAACGCTTGGCGACAACGCAAGTTTTCGCGTCTCTCTCCCAGCATAATTGGGTCATTTGGTATGGGCACAACCATTCTTTCATTCCCCAGAATAACTAGCTGCAACGCTGGGTACCTATAATGAGCATCATCAGACTTCTCACCCAGATGTTGGAACATCTTGAACAGACTGAAACTACTTGTCTCTAAAATATGTATTATATTCCTTTTTTTATTACAATTGGAGACGTTATTGATCTCATTAGCTATGAATTGTATAAATAAATAATAAAAATAATTCACAAAACACTAAACTTTTTTTTCGGTTTTCTGACACTTTTACAGAATTTTTATAGAAAAATATCCGAAAAAACCGAGTAACCGCTTAACCGATACTTAAAAACCGAAAAAACTGTTTTTCAAAATAACTCGGTTTTTGCGTGCCCTAGTACCGCGGAAACCGGTTTATTCAGGGGGCTGGAAGTCAATGAATCTGCGAGCGAGAGGGGTCGTGATGACTCGTGAAAACAGCTTATAAACGTGGCTTCTTCTGTAGGGTGTTATCTCCCTTTATGAAGAAGAGTATCGCTACGCTTCAATTCCACCCTTCTAGCGTAGAACCTTCGAGCAAGACTGCAATTCTCTAATAATAATAATAATTGCAATATCCGGTTCCTTGAAATATATATTAAGTAAACATTTTTATTTACGTAATACTAGTCATAAATATAATAACTTATAGATGTGGCTCGCACTTGATTATATTTACCTTTACAGCTACCGCCCTGGCTAGAGACGTCGCTATTAACTGTAATTAAGGTTTTATTGAATGTCAGAATGTTTCACCACCATGATATTCAGTTATTTTTTGTGAAATTTAAAAAAAATAATATAAATAGTATATTATATAAAATAATTTTTTATTATTTTTTTCCCATTTTTTCAATTATGCCTTCCTTATTAACGCCATAAACTTACTGCTCAAGTCATCATCGTATTCGATTGTAAAATAATTTACCTAGACAATTTAGCTAATAACACATTGTTCTAAATAATTTGTAAATACCCGTTCCGTGCATTTTTTAAATTCACATTTTAATACCTATACATATACCAAACCGAAAGGAAATACCCTGATACATGTAGTGTGTAGTGCGACAATCGAGTAATTTCCTGTCTATCTCTTCTTAGCTCTATGTAAGTGTGTGAGTATATGAGAGAGAGCATGTGTCTATTTTAAGTACAACGCCATCTGTTAGCGACAATATTAATTATGTTAACTCAAACTGAAGGTCCAACTAGCACATTCTTACCACTCCGCGTATGGCGCTACCTCATCGGAGAAATTATAGTAGGCGCGTTATCGCTCAAGGTCATCGACGCTTGTCAGCGTCTTAAGATCCGTAAGTCCGGGTTCACCGAGACTTGGCCCGGACGCTCGCCGTACCCTGTTCTTACCAGGCAGCCCGTAGTCTCCTCGGAACTCCCTATCTCTCGGGTCGGTAGATAGGGACACCGTCGTTATCGGCGTCATAGTCATCGACTGTACAATATAAAGTATAAAAATTTACTTTTCGTCAGGTTTATTCGTGATCGACGGCAAAGGTATCCTCCGCCATATGTCCATCAACGACCTGCCCGTCGGCCGGTCCGTCGACGAAACGCTACGATTGGTCAAAGCCTTCCAGTTCGCTGACAAACACGGAGAAGGTATGAGCAGTTATTGTGAAATAATATTTTATGCATTCATTGCATAATGAGGGTTCTTAAAGTCGAATACCGTATTTAGGCCACGAGGTTTTGCCTAATAAAAAAATAATAGGTACAAGATTTTAAGCTTAAATAAGTAATGATTGCATACAATACTTTTTGTACGAGTAAATTAAAATAATGAAACACAGGCAATTAAACGCTAAAAAACAAAAAACCAAAGAGATAGAATAGAAGTGTCCGTAAATGGCTAAGTACCACTTATATTTTAACCAATCAGGAGGCAGTAGAGCGTTTGAGTGGAGTCATATTTGATATTGTTTTTGAACATATACTTATTTTTCATTTGTTTTTTTTGCGAAATAACTCCATTAGTTTGCTATTATTAAATACAAAGATCCCACATAAGAAAAATTCTATCGACCCGACAGGACTCGAACCTGCGGCCACGACCATCGCTCTTCCAACTGAGCTACAGGTCGAGTTAACCGAGTCGTCGAAATTTTTGTGTCTGTTATAGATCTTTGCATTGAGTTTTCGGCTTTCGACGCTGTAAGCGACATCTATGAGAGATTTTATGAACCTTCTCACTCAGCCGATAACTTTCCAGCTACCACAAGCTGACGTTAATGTCGCTTTTCGGGTCGGTTTTTTATCGGGTCGATAGATTTAGATGTTTTTAGATTTGCCATGCATGTACATTAGAGATATCTGAGTATTTGTCAACTCTCATGCGCAATATTGTAAAACACGTGGTGAAGTAATTCCAAGACAAACTATAGCTAAATCAAGTGAATTTTTTATACCAACCTCGTTGCCGTAAAGTAATTTATAAGTATAAAAAAGAGGTACTCAGAACTGCGAAGTCTAGACGTGCACAAAGCTAGCGGGCCAGATGGAATTCCAGCAATAGTCCTGCGTAACTGTGCGCCTGAGTTGTCTCCTACTCTCACACGCCTGTATCGCCTCTCACTTGAGACTGGTGTAGTTCCCAGGTCGTGGAAGCTGGCAAATATGCAACCAGTGCCTAAAAAAGGAAACACAGCTGACCCTGTCCACTACAGACCTATCTCAGTCACTTCCATACTCTGCAATACTATGGAACGTGTACTTAGAAACCGTCTCCTTTCGTACCTTGAAGACAGCTCCTCAGTGATCGCCAGTACGGATTCCGAAGAGGGCGATCCACTGGGGATCTTCTTGTGTACGCCTCTCACTCGTGGAGCGTACGGGCATGGCGAAGCCATTGCATTGTCTTTAGACATTTCTAAGGCCTTTGACGGGTCTGGCACGAAAGCCTTTTAAGCAAGCTTCACTCTTATGGGCTTCCCACTGACCTCTGCAATTGGATTTCGGATTTCTAGAGTGAACGTTCGATTCGAGTTTCTTAGAAGGCTACTCTTCCGAACATCGGGCGATAGATTCCGGCCGGAGTTCCTCGGGGTTCTGTACTGTCCGCAACCCTCTTTCCGCTGCATATAAACGATATGTTGATTCCAGGTACCTTTGGGTATGCTGATGACAGCACAGTTGTGGACAAGTACTTGACCAATGCAAGGGTCAGTGGAGAAGAAATCCAGTCTTGTCGAGAGTCCATGGTTAGTCGATTGAATTTGACACTTAAGAAAGTCTCCGATTGGGGCGATACCAATCTTGTCAAATTTAATGCTACCAAAACGCGGGCGTGTCTTTTCTGCACTAAACGGAGTCCCTTTCACCTGACTCCGACTTTTCGTATATGTCGTGATATATCCGTACCGATAGCCGACCATCTTCACCTACTTGAAATAGACCTGTCGTGCAATCTGAACTTCGGCAGATACATTGCACCCATGGCCAAAAATGCAGCCAAGAAGCTTGGCATCCTTTCGAAGGTGAGGCGTTACTTCACACCGGGACAGTTGCTTCAGCTGTACCAAGCACAAGTGCGGTCGTGTGTGGAGTACTGCTGCCACTTATGGGATGGCTCTGCTAAATACCAACTGGCCACCTTGGATTCAATAGACAAGCGTGCTAAGAGGATTATAGGTGACTCAGAATTAGTAGATGCGAAGCTGCAGAGCCTTGAACACCACCGTCAAATTGCCAGCTTATCGGTATTCTACAGGATATATCACGGAGAGTGTGCGATGGAATTGCATAATTTGATTCCGCCTTCCCCTTTCCATTATCGGGAGACTAGACATGGGCGGAGGTTCCACCCGTATATTGTGGATATTCCCCGGATTCGCACGAAGCATTCCGCTTCCACATTTGTATGGCGAGCGGCTAGGGAGTGGAATTCCCTGCCTACAGACTTGTTCCCCGAACGCTATAACTTGGACCTTTTCAAGGCGAGAGTTAATAGGTATTATTTAGGTGTGCATGCTACATCATCGACCTCATCGTCGCTTTCCATCAGGTGAGATGGAGGTCAAATGCACACTTATTTTTATATAAAAAAACTGCTTCAACATTGTGTACAATTATTTTCAATAAATTCCCAAATGAAATTAAATTGTTACAAGGACAAGCTTCTAAATTACAATTGACAAAATAGCTTTTAACACATTGCTTCTATAGTAATAAAGAATACTTAAAATTTGCAAATTCATTACATTAATTTGAATTTACAGAGACCAAACATTAAATCGCATTAATATTTGCACATCTGCTTCTGGTTGAATGTATGTAATGTACCTTATTTTACTTAAGACCTATGTAATTACTGTATTCTGGCAAATAAACTTATTCTATTCTCTTTCTAATATGTCGATGAAAAGGACGAAACTTCAACATGGTGTTGTTTTTCAGTCTCCGCCTGTGTTCTCTGTCGGACATTATCGTAACATAATTTCTGCTATTCAAGCAATGTAACTTAAATCTAGTTACACACATTAAAAGTGTCCAGGGACCAAGGTATTTTTTAACCGACTTCAAAAAAGGAGGAAGTTCTCAATTCGACTGTTTTTTTATGTATGTTACCCGATAACTCCAACATTTGTGAACCGATTTTGACAATTCTCTTTTTTATTGGAAAGAGGGTACTATTACGGGGTGGGTCTGAGGACATTTAAAAAAAAAATAGGTTTTGGTTTACACAAATATTTTTTATAGAATAAAACGTTACAAGGAAACGAACCGTCTGTCACAAAGCTCAAATCAGACTAACTGAATCGCGAGGGAAATGAAATTATATGTATGCAAAATGCTGTCGTAGGCATTGGCACCATCCACGTGCAAATGCACTGTGATGGTGTAAATACTCACGTGCATCGCCTGTACATATGCATAAATAACAGTACCTCAGGATATTTTCTTCATATTTAAATGGAACCATTCATTTAAATTTGAAGAAAATATTCTACCTCTAAAGGAGGCAAACTAGGGGATGAATGACTTTTGAGGTCGGTTTTTTTAGTACTCTGTACTGAGATTATTTTTAACATTTAATTACTCTATTAAAATAAATAAAAATACCTATAATATATAGAATAATTTAATACATTTATATAAAATTTATTAAATTATTTCTTTATTTATGAAATTATAAAAATTGAGCAAAAACACATTCGTGTTAAAAAAATTAATAAAAAAGAATATTTTCAGTAATGGGTAAAAACGTGATTGATCCTTAGACACTTTTGATGTGTGTATTTATTTATTGGTTACGAGCATTGACTTACAATTATATGGACGTCGGGTCCGCGCTAAAAAGTTTCCGAACTTATAGGGCGTTAAAATCGTATACAGAGCGTCATTCACGCTTTAGTCTTCGTTTGTTCGACTGACAGCGAAGCAAGCAAAATTAGACAGTACTGCGATGACATTACAATTTAAATTCAACGTTTTAGCTTTTTCATATTCCTTTACATGTCACTACGTTTAAATAGGTTGACTTGGGACATTTTTTTCGTGATTTTTGTATTAGACCCGTCGTCCATTTATTTGTAAGTCAATGGTTACGAGTGATAATAAGCTGTTTTTGTTTTTTTCTTTTATAGTGTGCCCAGCTAATTGGAATCCGGAGCACAATGCAGATACGATCAAACCCAACCCAAAGGAGAGCAAGGAATACTTTCGCAAAGCCAACTAAATAGTATTACAATTAGTTACTAGATATTTATTATAATATGCGTTTATAGGTGTTTAACAGATATCCTAAGTTTGTTATTTAACCTTTTTTGTTTATTTCACTTGTACGAAAAACAAATTAAGACGTTATATCACGCCATGATACAACAACGAGAAGATACAAATCAAAATGTGAGGGCGTTTCTCCACTGTTTAAATCACTTGCATCAACTGCCTCCATTACCATGCTAGAGTGCCACGCAGGGGTCCTGAGTTCGATTCCCGGGCCGATAGAAATATTTATATGGCCTTCATTTATTTCTCTCGTGATTTTGGGTGTAATTTGTGGTTGTCTATGTGTGTGTCCATGGCACCCGCGATACAGGGTTTCCCTAGTGCGGGGCTATGAGTATATGCGTTATTATTTAGTTATTATATTCGCCTCTTCACTTCTCATCCGACATCCGATTTGCATGTGCTCCTGCGCCGGGCCGTCAATTTTACCGAAGAAACGCCCTTATAGACAGTGAACATACGCATTTTGAAATCAATGCCGGTACTAAACAAAAAGTTCGAGAAATGAACTTTAATATTTCTACAACCAAGTTATATTTAAAAATAACGAGATTTTCATTAATTGGCGGTATTGTTATTAACGTGCGATTTAAGCACGAACGGTCGTAGCTTCGATGACCATAAAGTAGAATTTAAACTAAAAAAGTTATTTATATAGTTTCAGAATTTCGTTATCTGTGTTGTATAATGTCAATAATTTGTTGTTTGAAATTATAAGTTACTTCCATTAGTGATGATAGTGCAACCCCTCCCTGAGTGTCTAAAGGTGCCTATAGATTTGCTCGGTTTTTATAAGATCGTTATTGTCGCTCGGTATGCCGTGTTTTGATGATCAATAAGATATGTCAGCTATACAGGTTTGCTCGATTTTATCGATCGTTACTGGCGGCTGTTGGCGATTGATAAATATCACGGTTAAAATCGAACAAATTTGTAGGCACTTATTCCTATTTTAAATTCCACATTACCGATCGCCAAAAAAATACGGTGTCAATCGTCAAAAACTCGAGCAAATGTGTTGGCACCTTAACGCTTTACTCAACGTCAGCTCCGCGAAATCCATCGTGGACATTTCGTCCCGCTCAAGCCCCTGCAGCATACCGACACCGGCCCTCAGGAGTCTACGATGAGCTTTTGCGGAGTTGTTCACTATGTCAATAAACCAATTCAGTGCAAGAAATAACACAGCCTTGAAATTTGTTATTTTTTTGTAATAACGCTAGGTTCCTGCTCGATTTTAATGTTTTCCCATAAACCACTTTGTAACTTTGCACGCTGTTTCACTTTCGGTTTTACCCTTCGTTTCTAAATTAATGGTCAACAACAAATTGCTCTAGTCATCTTTATTTGGTATATCATCAGGGATAGTGCTATTACGCGTAACTAGCATTTGATTATGGGTCTCCATTTCGGTAATTTAGTCGTCAAATCACATCCGCGTAAATGTCGTGGCAACCAAATTAGCGTGATTTACGGGAATCTATTGTTATCAGACCGTAGCCAATATAAATTAACGCTTACTGTGCAAAAAGTCGTAGCCATTGAAATAACTAAGTAATAACGTTAAATCCCTCTCCTGTGAAATTAGATTTAGTACGCGCTTTTTACCAATACTATTTACGCGGATTAGCACTATCCCCGACGATATGAAGAAGCAACCTCATCGCTATGATTTATACCCATAGATAATTGGTGGCGTGTAGGTAATTAGTTCAACTGTTGGAAGAACACAGAGATGCGGAGGAAGAACAAGACAAACACGTCGTTAATATTTAAGATCGTGTAATCTTGACACAACTCAGAAAAACCGTTAAATGCTGAGGTTGTAGATGGGTGCTCTTAAATATACGAATGAAAGCGAATTTTTGTACAGTCGTTGTAGGAGGAGTGACAGTTTACGTAATAGTTCTATCCCGTTATGAGTAAAATGAGCGTGAGACGCACGCTCCGCGAAGTACATTTTTTCGTAATTGTCCATAAGTTCGACACTTATTATTAAGTTTTCGCGATTCTTACACATAGGAAATGAAACTATTTTTCCGGATTTAAATCGCGAATATTATTTTTTTCAAACAAACCAACGTTTCGGGCACTTTACAGGTTAACAATATGAATTTAACTTAATAAAAATTCATATTGTTACTGTTTCGTATGTTCATACATTTTATTTGCAGATATAAAGTACAAACATTATACATGCAATGCAATGGCACTAAATGAGAAGGTTCCAGGTTCGATTCCCAATAGGACGAAATTAGGAAATTAACTTTTCTGAAATGGGAAATGAAACTATTTTTCCGGATTTAAATCGCGTATATTTGTTTTTCAAACAAACGACGTTTCGGTTTTCTGAAATGGTTTTGGCCTTGGTGTTATGTGTAGTGCCGCGGAGTGAATTCCGTTGTCCTTGATCTCGCGTTCGATTCCCGGTAAAATAACTTTGGGAAATGAATTTTCTGAACTTGGGTCTGGTCTGGGTGTTCTGGTAATGCCCATGTTTGACTTCAGTTGCTCTGGCACTCATAAGGAGTAAAGGGAGTTCCCTAGTTAGAGACCAGGTGGTTGGCAACAGAACAGCCAAAAGTACATTTCCCAAATTGGTTCTACCGGAAGTCGAACCCGGGACCAAGAGCTACAGAATACACTCCGCGGTATTGCCCAGAACACCTAGAACGTCAAGACCATTTCAGGAAAATTTCATTTCCGAAACTGGTTCTACCGGGAATTGATCGACGGGGACCAAAATGTACAGAATTCTCACTGCGGCACTGCCCCATAACACCTAGGCCATAACCATTTTAGAAAAGTTCATTTCCCAAATTAGTTCTACCGGGAATCGAATCCGGGACCAAGAGTTACGGAATCCACTCCGCTTCACTACGCTAAAATAAAATTTTATTTCTGCACTTGGTTCTACCGGGAACAAGAGCTTTGGAATTCCCTCTGCGACACTATCCGTAACACCGGACTAAAACCATTTTAGAATAGTTCATTTGCCTAATTAGTTCTGCCGGGAATCGAACCTGGAACCCTCTCATGCAGTGCCAACAGTGCAAACTGTTGGGCCACCAAGATCGTCTTATTTGGACTATTATATGCAAGTATATATTATTTGTACGCACAATCTACAAATCGCTTTATACACAGCCACCTATTCGGAAAACAGATTCCCGTGAGAAGAAATATTCACTTTATTTAGCACATGTGAAGTTCTATATTGTATTGCTATTTGCAAGTTCGCCCTAAGTAGTCCAATGTCGCTCAGCCAATGTTCGCCTTTCAAAGAAATATACTTTATTGTCGAGAAATCTAGTCACACTTTGTAGTGCCCGTGGTGGCACAAGTTCGTGACTTTAGGTTAGCGAGTCCGCTACCTAGGGGCCATGGGGCCAGGACAACATCCCCTCAACTGTGAATTTCAGAGGATGCTCCCCCAGCCCCCGCGGCGGATCTGTTAGTAGGCTCCGCCGCAACACCCTACGCGCATCCACGTGGACGCATCCTTTGGAGCGCCCACCGCACGGGCCAATTGCCCAAATTCGGCCGCGGAGGACAGGACGAACGGCAACGACACACCGACATGTCTCTTCCCCCGCGGCCCCACCGCCACTGCATCTGCACCCTATGCGGTGCAGCCCCGCCAGAGTCGCGGAGGATAGGACGAGCGACAACGCCACACCGACACGTCTTTTCCCCCGCGACCCTCTTCCCCGCTCCTCCACTTTATTTAGTAGAAATGAAACTATAGTGTATTGCATTTTCCGCCCACCGCCGCTTGCTGCAGTTTTGTTTTAAACATAATCTCAGTACAGAGTACTAAAAAAACCAACCTCAAAAGTACGCGGAATTACGACTATTTGCTAAATTTTATTGAAATATCCCCTAGTTCGCCACTATATAGGACTTGACACTGGAGATAATAATAATCGGTTCCCACTACTCAAAGTATATTGAGAGAAAAACGCCTTGAATTGGAGAAATAGCAAAATCAACCTTTAAAATAATTGCTCCTAAATTAAAATTAGGCGCTATTTATAAAAATGAATCTTCATGTGTAAACAGCCACCCTTAAAGGTGGATGATTTTCTTCAAAATGAAATGGGACCACAATGGAAGTACCCCCTTTCCAACAAAAAAAGAATCATGAAAATCGGTTCACAAATACCGGAGTCATCGCGTAACATACATACAAAAAAAGAATATACAGTCGAATTGAGAACATCCTCCTTTTTTGAAGTCAGTTAAAAATAGAAAACAAAGAAAATAAAACCAACACTGATTCAAAAAGTATCGCAAATATTTGCTCTCTTGACGACGAACCCACGCTTAAATCAGAAAATAGTACTCCAACTTTAATTAAACTACTTGTTCTCGCTATTTAGATTTTGACGCTTTTTAATATTATCGATTTACTTAATATTTTAATGTATATATAGCAAAGTACATATCGTTATACTGTAGGTACTGTGTACTTCTTATTGTTGGCATTTCCATCAGTTAAAACCAAATTAGTCGTATTGGTCGTAATCACTTTTATTTTTTTATTATTATTAATCTGTGTTTATTTGCGTATTGTATAAAACAAATTGAATAAATAATACATAAAAGTTATACTTTCAATGACGCATAATTAATTAGTAAATATTGACGTTTGTTAAGTGTATGTAAAATATAGCGAATAAAAGTATTTGTTTTAATTTTACTACTCTTTTCTACTTCTCCTTTACAGTTGAAAATAGTAGTATTAGTTTTTAATTGATAGGGTGTAACGATCGAATTATTGCACGTTTTACCTAATACTTTCACTATTTTTGCACAACAACAACAGGAACAACAACGTAGGTATAGATTGCAAAAAAACACTTATGACTCTTCTGTATTCTAATTTACAACTTATCTTTATTTGACTTTGTGTAAGTACAAGCGAGTGGTCGATAGATGGCGTATGTAATTGTTACTACTGCTTAGAGGTCAAATCGTCAGTCATTCACGACTGTTCAAGCCTTAATTGTTATCAAGTCTTGTGTTTATGACCTTGACTTGCATGTACATAAGCCATACTGAAAGTTTCTGGATAAGTGAGACCAGATATTATGTTTATAATACGTTTATTGTTTTTCAAAGTATATGTTGCTCACATACCTTTGCATTCGTTGGAACCATTGTGAAAAGCAGTGGAACCAGTCTCCTCTTCAATGGCTTCGTGGAACGCATTTACCGCCGCTTCCGGACTGGTAAATTGTAAACTTCTAAGGCTCAATTTATATTGCGGCAGAACGGAATTTACGCGAATTTTTGTTGCCATATTGTAAACAGCATAATGAAGTTATTGTCAATTGTGTAAAGTACGAACTAGATACGAACCAAAATCTTCCGCGGAATTCTTGCGCATGGTCCAGAATGCCCGCGCATTCCGTAGAAGATTTTGGCTCGTGTCTAGTTTGTACGTTACTCAGTTGACCATAAAGTTTATTATGCAATGTACAATAACGTTATAAAAATTCGCTTCTATTCCGTTCCGCCGCAATATAAATTGGGCCTAAGTTTATCCTTGATTTTAAATTAAAAAGAAGTCGCATGGTGCAAGTTCTCTGGGTTGTATGGCGGATGGGCCATATACTCCAACATTTAACTTATTTAACTGCCTCCGTGGCCGAACGGTTACCATGCCGGACTGCCACGCAGAGGTCCAGGGGTTCGATTCCCGGGCCGGGAGAAATATTTGTATGGCCTACATTTATTTATCTCGCGAGTTTGGGTGTAATTTGTCGTTGTCCATGAATGTGTCCATGGCACCCGCGACACAGGGTTTCTAGTGCGGGCTATGAGTGTGTGCGCATTATTATTATTATTTGAGGCCTTCAAATACGCATTCGTTACCTTTGTGGCAGAGGAGTTGCCGTGGTGGTAGTCGATATTGCTCCGAGGAAGCTTCTCGCGAAGTTTTTCTACACTCTGAGCAAGCAGATGTTTACATACCAATCTGCAATTACTGTCCTTAGGTCCTCAAGCGCTACAGTAGTGTAATGTCCTGATTTGCCGAAGAAAGAAGCAACCATTTTCTTAAATTTGAAAAAGGAACACTCTGTGAGTAGGTTACTTTTTAGTTTATGAGACTGTATTTGTTTTTTCATTGTGGAGTCGTTTTGAAAACTGTAAGTCGCTCTTACAATGAATTTCAGTCGTGAAAATTTTCGGTCCATGATTTTCTAAGATTTTCATTTTGTGGCTTAAGTCAACAAGACAGTTGTCAAAGGCTTCAATTGGCATTTGGTGATGAAGCCTCATGTCGTAGCTCTGTCTATTCGTGGTTCAGTGAACGTAGACGTGGACGTGATCATCTTCATGACGATGTTCGTGAAGGTCGACCGGCGACTGCCGTTACCGAATTTAATATTGACACGGTACGACAACTGCGCACAGAAAAAAATACTTGTCAGCAAATTCGTGCTGTATTAGATGTCCTGATTTGCCGATTACAATGGGAAAAGCGCTTAACGCTAAAAGTAAATAATCCATATTTAGGTATTGAATGGTAACGGTGCTTGTGAAATTACAGGCATAAGGAACTTTCCAACGTATGTCTCAGGGTGAC